GGCAGGAGGATTGCTTGAACTCAGGGGGCAGAGGCTGCAGTGAGCCAAGATCACGCCAGTGCACTCCAGCCTGGGCAACACAGTAAGACTCCGCCTTAAAAAAAAGAAAAAGAAAACATCTTCGTGTATAAAGGAGAAACCTCAATACATGAATACAGAAGCAAAAACAGCACAAATGTCAATAGAATATATGGCAAAAGACATTTTTGAAAAGAACTTTATTTAGGGTCTATTGGAGGCAAAAACAAAGAAAGGGAGAAAGAGAACCTATAAATTAAGAGCGACTCAAGAGACATATAAGCTAAATACTATGTATGGATCTAGTTTGATTTCTAATCTGTAAAACCAAACATAAAAAGAATTTATGAGACAATGAGGGACTCCTGAATACTCACTAGCTGGATATTAATGAGTCATTAACTTTCATAGGTGATAATGGTTTTCTGTTATGTTAAAGAGGGGGTTGATTTTATCTTTTAGAGAAGCATAATGAAATAGTTATAGGAGAAATTACATCTTGTGTCTGCTTTAAAACACTCCAATAGTGGAACAGGGACAACAGATGAAATAAGATAGACCATGTATTGATAAATGTTAAGGCTGGGTGATGGGTACATGGGGTACATTAAACTCTCCACTTTTATATATGTTTAAAATAGCCAATGATAAAAAATGGTTTAAAAGGTCTATTGGTAACTAAGCTAACAGTATATTTCTACTGTTTGTTAAACATGTGTTCAAAATTGAAAATAAGGAATGATCCTAATTCAGAAATCCCTTATCAGGTAGTTTCCATGATGTGGAAAGTCAAAGTCATGGAAAAACATTAACTATCAATGTATTATCAGGAAATTAGAAAATTCGTAGAATCTTGACATTAGCAAAGTCAGTAAACTAAATGAGTTACAGTGAAATAACCCACAACTCCACCACATTCCATTATATAGTCCCTTACTTTAAAAAAAAAAAAAAGTCTAAGCAAAATGGAATACTTATCTATATTTTTAAGGTAGAAAATAAAATTATAGGAAAGCAAAAGGCACCACCATAAGCTGGTAAGTAATGCTGCCTTTTGAGAAGGAAAAAGTTGATTTTAAAAGACTAAGATATATGAAAATTTTAATAGAAAAACATGTGATTGATAGAACTATTTTTCTTCAGTAAGGAATTACTTTACAAACATCTGCTGTGAAATATTATACTGAAGTAGAACCAAAAAAATGTCTGGTATTGTCTTAAACATTTTTTCAACAAATATTTACTTTATTAACACAAAGACATTAACCTTCAGAGTTACCTGAGTGTCTTCTATGTCTAAGGGAAAAATGGTTGCAACAGCTTTGGTAAGAAACACTACTGAAATTAAATCTGTTAATAATGAAGTAAAAATGTAAGAACATAAAAACACAGAAACTATATTGAGATACTAGAAAAAAAGTGTGATTTTTTTGGACATCAAACTTAGATAATAGGTGCTGTAGGCTCTGCTGCTCACTTGCAAAGTAAAAAACTCTAGGCCTCAATTTTCCACCTCCAGAAGATGATACGTTAGTTTGTCTCTCTCTCTCTCAAGTCCCACTTCCAGAACCTACACTATCTACATATTCTCTTTCTTCCTTAGTAAAAAATCCCTGACTTTCCACAGAATACATGGTTGAGTAGAATAAAGAATACATTTGCAACTAGGCATGACCATGTGATAAAGTTTTAGTGAAAGTGTCGTGTGTTAGCATCCAGATAAATCTTCTCACTCATAGGTGGGAACTGAACAATGAGATCACTCGGACTCAGGAAGGGGAACATCACACACCGGGGCCTATCATGGGGAGGGGGGAGGGGGGAGTGGGGAGGGATTGCATTGGGAGTTATACCTGATGTAAATGACGAGTTGATGGGTGCAGCACACCAACAAGGCACAAGTATACATATGTAACAAACCTGCACGTTATGCACATGTACCCTACAACTTAAAGTATAATAATAATAAATAAATTAAAAAAAAAAAAAAAACAAAAACAATGTGCACACCTTTTACCTCTTCTTCTCTGCATTCCAGACATTATGCTGCCAGGGATGGCTCAAACAGTACCCATCTTGGAAATGAAGTTTTATCTTGCTGAAGCAACCATTAATTTAGGTTTTTGTTTTGTTTTGAGACAGAGTATTACTCTGTTACCCAGGCTGCGGGGCAGTGGCACAATCTCGGCTCACTGCAACCTCTGCCTCCCAGGTTCAGGCAATGTTGGTGTCTCAGCCTCCCATGTATCTGGGATTACAGATGTGCAGAGTTTTTCTGTAACTTGAAAACAAACTTAACCCTAGATGATACAAAACCACATTCTTACACTATGTTACCTTGAGATTAGTCAGTTACTCAACAATAAATTAGTAAATGAAAAATAAAATACTAGAAGGAAGCGAAAAATCACATACAGAATTTCTACCATATTCCTCCCAATTTCTAAGAGTGACAGAATGTAATGTAATGCTTTGTCATTGCTGTTTTTCCTTAACAGGGGTAGTTACCATTTTTAGTATAGGTAATGTAATTCCGTACATTAATCATTCCCTCATTCTTTCATTTAGCAAATACGTATTAAGCATCCACTATGTTCTATGTACTGAAGTGCCTGCATAAGATAGAAAAGATCCGTACGTTGATACAGTTTACATTCTAGTGGGAAGGTGAAAGGTAGCAGATATTTATTGAGGGGGAAAAACATACAACAATTACCTATTCTTCCACTGAAGATACCTACTCATCATCAAAAATATAAATCAACTATAAGTTCTTCCTTTAAAATGAAGGCTCTGAAAAAGAACCAGAACAATTTAACATTTGTTAAAATTAGATCAACTGTTTCTATGAACCTTTATTTGTGAAGTGAGTGTTTTATTCATGTTTTAGTCCTCTATGGGAAAAATGAGTTTTGGAAGAAATTTAATCAAGGAACTGAAAAGCTAATTGAACCTACGGGAACATAGATAATCTTCTGGTCATGTAAAGAAATTATTGATCAGTCAACAAACGGAACTAAAAATTTTGGTGTCTAAATAAAAAACACAGAAAGCCAGATTATTAAAAGGCCAGAGAAATGTCTAAATCTGCCCAAATGTCAATAAGAAGAGATCTGTATTAAAAATTAATATTTAAGAATATTTGGTTGTAGATATGGAGATTAACATAAATGGGCATGAGATGACGGATACGTGCTAAATGATCTAAGCACAGCACACACTGGAGCTAGATTTCAAATCTAGCTAGAAGACATAATACAATGAAAAGCAGTATAAGCTGTACTAGTAAAGAAGAGCAAGTCACCTAAGGGTAAAGAACAAGTCACCTACAACCGATGTTTTTGTTACACACTGATGCATAGTGACTTAAAAAATAACGGTTTTAGTAATCTCCCCAATAGATCTCTACAGATCAGAAGAGTTACTATATACTTAACTTTCCATGAAAGGTGGTTTAGGAACTTCAAGTATGAATCTCTTGAATCAGATATTTCACAGAGTGACTTATGCAATGGAGAGCCATAGTGAAACATTTCAATAGAAACTATCTGTAGCAAAATATGCATATATAAGTTATGATACACTCTTGATACAATCAGCACCTATGCCAAAATTATGGCATAATTTAGGAAGAGAAAAATGTAAAATATACTGTAATACATATTTATGATAAAGTGTGATTATTCAAGTACAAGTGCTTTCAACTTCTACAGTATATTAAAGTGTGTTAATATTATGGGATTAAAGAATTAATCTATGATGGGGTATCCTTGAAATAAATACATCTGATTCCCAAAGGATTCAAAATGGTTATTACACATATTAAGATATCATTGTGCCAATATGCCTTTATACATAACTGTTGACTAAACCAATAACCTTCATAATCTGCTGGTTATTGAGTATTTTTTGTAGAGCTGAATTGATGGTTGAATTGAAAGAAGCCCACGCATTACATAAAAGTATACATGTCACAAAACCTGGTGATATTACCTGTCAATGTTTGATCTCAACAGAAGATCAAGGACAGCAATTTTCTCTGAAAATGGGTCTTAAAGAACAGAGACTAAGTCTACTTAACAAATAGAAAACAGGTTCTTTCTAGAGTCCAAGATTTAGTACAGGGAACTCAACAACATCCTGAAGCTTTATGTACAATTCTGAGTATTGGCTTTCTTCAGAGTTTTGAACGAGTATGGGATCTAAAGACAGAATTAGTACACCTAGGAATGTGACAGTCTCATTGTCAGCAGAACAACTTCATAAGACCTTAAGTTACTCAACAGCAAATACCTGAATAATAGTAACTTCACTGCCATAGACTTACACACTAGATTTTCCTCCTCCTAAGGATGTTTCAAAAACAAAAAGGAAAAACCCTCAAAGGTGCCACCAAAACCCAAGAAATGTTGTTTCTAGAAAACTATATGGGATTTTTACATCGCAGTTAATACTAGAGGAAAATCATGAGACAGTTTCGGCATTAAAGAGAGAAGAGAATGACACATATTTCTCCAGATATCCCTTTATAAAACCTCCCATTCCCAGCCCCAATAACAAACTAAGTAGAACATCTCAAATATACTCTCGGAATCTTAAGGCTGAAATCCAAATGCCACTCCCCCCTGAGAGAGGCAGCAAACAAGTTTCTCCCAATTCCAACAAAGTGGGTAAAGCTAAGGCCTGCAATTAGAAATGAAGGATTCTGTCCGTCTGCTAAAATAAGGAGGGGGCTTGTCAGTCTTGCCTGATGGAACCAGAGGGGAGGGTGACAACAGAGGTTGCACAGGATAGGCCTCAGATCTTACTCAAGAACTGTAGCCCTACCAGATTGGTGCGGGCATGGGAAAACAACTCAGCAGCAGAGGTAGATAATGACGGTAGGACCTGAACCTCCTGGTGAGGAGCTACGTGGCATTAAGCAAACAGTGTTTCGTCTCCCTCACACCGTTTCCGCCCAAACCATTTTCCCCTTTGGTTACCAGTTGCTCCAGATGCCGTAGAGTAGTTCCACAAAAGCGAAAGAGAGGTTCAGGCACAGGAAGAAAAACAGGTTCCGGGACGTCTTGTCGGACAGGATAGACCTGGGAATGATACACGTGGAAAAGAGCCGGGAGAGTTAAGGAGGTGGCCGGACCCCGAGGCCGGGTACCCCTTTCAAGTTCCTCCCAGTTCACATGCTCCTTTCCTCACAGCTGTGGGTTGACGGGGAGTTTCCGACGCTCCCTCCCTGGACCTCGGGCCATCCTGAGGTCTGGGCCTTCTCCCTTTCTGCCGGACACCCCCTCCCCGCAAACACAGCACCCCGCACCTAAACCAGCCCGAGATCTTGCCGAACAGATTGAACTTGGGTGGTTTGTATTCATCGTCCTTGATGGACAGGGGCAACATCTTCTCTGCCCGGCGAAGAGCCGGGTCTACTCCCCTCTAGAAGTGGCTCCGTGGGGTGATGGCAGTGATAGTAGTGACGCCTCAAACGGGAATCCCCAGCGCTTGTCCGGGGCCGCGCGCCGCTGCGAGACACAGACAGACACAGACACACACCCGGGAATTCGCTTACTTCCGGCCCGGGCCGCGCAACGCGTCCTGGGACGGGAAAGGAGGGAGGCCAGTAGCGGGCGGGGCCTGCGCGACGGAGGGCGGGGCTTGCTGCGGGGGCAGGGTGGGAACGGTGCTGGAGCTGTTGGAGGAACGCCAGGAGGTGGCAACTACGAGGGGGTGTGAGGGGCTGACCTGGGGTAGAGTCCTGCCACCCGGACTCAGGAAGAAAATCCTGAGGTGGCGACCTGCAGACTGGGCTGTCAGGAGATGGAGAGCCCGCTCACGCCCACCCGACCGCCTACTACCAGTGTTCCCGGATGCAAGGGCTCCAGCGCCTGCCCTTTCGCCATTTCCTCCCAACTGGCATTAAATCCCGGTGTAGTAGTTATCAGTGATTAAGAGTCTAGGCAGCCACGTGTTCTATTGCCGCCAGTCCGCAGGACACGCAAGTGATCGTTTTGCTGCGTTAACTCTATGGGCGCCCAAATCTTAGGAATCCATTCCACGCCCCCCCGAAGACAGCGCTGGACCCTTCTGGACTGCCACGCAGGAGGCAATCAATGTTTTTCTTTCTTTGCTTATTTTTTTAAGAGACAGGGTCTCGCCCTGTTACCCAGGCTGGAGCACAATGGCAGGATCAAGGCTCACTACAGCCTGGAACTCCCGGGCGCAGGTAATCCTCCTCAGCCTCGGGAGTAGCTGAGACCCCAGGCGCGCGCCACCACGCCTGGCATCAATCAATGTCTTTCAAAACAAAGGCTGTTAAACGTGTTATAGAAAAGAAGCTGTTTAATGGTAGGTCCTACCAGACGTGTTTGTTTTATTTTTAGATTTGGTTAATGCATTGTTTCCTGTAAAATCTCAACCCACGGAAACCTGAAATTCTAGAATTCGTGCAGGTCCCTTTCGCTTCCAGGTCATCCTCGGGGCAACGGCCGCCGCTGTAACTCTTGCCAGAACTTCCAGGCCCAGTTTCAGCAACGTGCAGGCAGAAGCTGGCGCCTCGGTGGGATGCGAGGGCGTGCGGAGCGCGGGGAAGAGAGCCCCACTGGCCTTTCCAGGGCACCCGCGGTGGATGGGAACGCTCCTTCGGGCGCCTTCCCAGGAAGTTGTTTGGCTGAGGGCAGGTGGTCCGTCACGTGAATGATTAAAAGTTGTTACCTTGGAGAAGAAATGGGGGAAAGGATTGGCTTTCGGAGGTGGGCTGGAAACTACAAAACCGAGCTTCTTGGGAATGCCTTTTAGGCTAACAGGAAGTGGAGCGTCACCGAAAGGGAGGGGCGGCCACTCGGGGACTGTCCCCTGCTCCAGGCGCTCACTTTGCGGGCGGCGCTTTTTCCAGGTTGTTAATCCAGCGAATGGGGAAGGATAGATGCACGCTGCTTGGTTTAGGGGGAAAAAAAAAATGAGCGAACGATACGCCCCTTCCGTTTTGTGATAACCAAGCTGCAAGGAAATAAATCGGCTGGCCTTACTGCAATCTACTGCACTCGAGGTAAGGAGACACAGCAAAATGCTCCAGTGTTAATGGTTTTTGTTGTTTTTTTTTTTTTTTTTTTTTGCAGTGAGGATATATGCATGTTTTGCTCTCGTTCTTGAAACTTTGTGTGTGTGTATGGGGTAGTAATTCTGTAGTTTTGTTTTTGAAAATATGTACTTATTCTACAATTTTGAAAAATGTTAATGTTAATTAAAGCTGTGTAAAAACAGCTAGGTTTCAGAAGTAAGTTCTGGGAAGAGTAATTTGTCTTTGCCTTTGTTAGCATATATTTCATTCTTTTAATTTAAATGTAGAAATATTTAAAATTAGTAGCATTTACTCTTTTTTTGGAAGGAAGTTTTTGTATTAGCAGTAGAGCGTGAATTTTACTCTACTGCACTACTGAGGAAAAATTAATTAGGTGCAAACTGGATAGTTTAAAGATAAATAATTCTGTGGTAATTGGATTTTTCTCTAAAACGCCCTTATTCAATATGCTTTAACTTGGGGTAAAGAGCAGGAAGTAATAGATGTAATTAAATTTTAGCAACTGATTTCCAGCATAATCCTAACTCATCAAGGTCAGCTGCATTTTGAACTTTTTTGTATTCTGCCTTTGAAAATAAGTCCTATATTTTATACTGTATTGCTACAAATCAGAAATTGCTTAACTGGTTTATGAAGAAACCTACATTACCCGTTTTCAAATAGTTTTGAAACGGATACGAGAAATTGAAGTTTAATTTCAGTTACATCAGTTTCCAGAGACTCCCAATTCCCCCACTCCCCACCCCCAAAGATATATGATAGGTATTTCCATGAGGACCTTCTCCTTTCAAAAAGTGAAAGTGATGTCTTCACATCTTCCAGTCTTGAAGAGCATAATGACCAAATTTAAAACAAAAGACATTTTATTTGCAATATAAAAGTGTGGGTGGACACTATTTAAATCAGGAAAAGTTCTCTGAGTGAAAAACGTTAGGCTGTCTCTCACTTCTTCTGTCATTGTGAAATAATGTTTGTCCCACATATGTTAACCTGTCTTTGTTGTCATATCAAATTTGTTTCTTTCACTCATTCAACAGTCATTTAATGAATGTCTTCTATGTGCCACGCTCCGTGCTGGGCACTGGGGATACAAAGCCAGATAAATTGAAAGTTATTTCCCTGGAGGAATTTTATGGAGAGAAGTTGTGAAGAGAGGGGGGTTGTAACAGGCAAATCAGTCCAGTATTTTAGAACTCTGTGATGTTTAAAATGTATACAAGGGATGTCCTTGGAGCAGTGTGGAGGGACAGCTATCACTAATGTGGAAGGACAGCTATCACTAAGTCTTTCTATATATACCAAGCCATTCCTTTTGCCCTTTCAATATGTTGTATTGGAAAATCAAAAATGATTCTTCCACTCTGTTCAAATGGTCAGTATCTTGCAAGTCACCAATCAGAATTCTTAATTCCTTTGTATGTTACAAGATTAAATAGGTTTATAAGATCATAACATACATATACTATTGAATGTTTTTAAACTAAAAAATGGATTTCTACCCTGAACTTTAAAATACGTTTTTGTATCATCTCCTACCAACTAATTGCATTGGGTTAGCTATGCAGACTCTATGGGTGGAAAAACCCCAGCTGCTCAGACATGTGATTAAGGATTCTGAGAAATGACAACAGAGGGAATTAAGGGGCAGAAGCTCATCCCAGTCATGGTTCCAGCTCCTTTTGGGCAATGGTCAGCAAGGAATAGGAAAGATGCTATCTGTCATTCCTCAGTGATCAACCCTGGCATTTGTCTGCAACCCTATTTGACCCTTTTAGATGCTTCAGATTGAGTGCCCTGGGAACTGTTGGTGAAGAAAGAGTTGTAAAGGTACATAAGAATACAAATTCATATAAATCTAGAAATTGGATACAAGTGCAAATTGCTAACATGTTCAGATGTTTTGCTCCATGGCATACATCCTCTGGTTTCAAATGTGTAACATTAGATAGTTGGGATCGTGTGCATTTATTTTGCTTCCAGATCCTTGTATTAGGGTTCTCTAGAGGGACAGAACTAATAGGATAGATGTGTATATGAAAGTGAGTTTATTAAAAAGAACTACTCAAACGATCACAACATGAAGTCCTACAATAGGCCATCTGCAAGTTGAGGAGCAAGAAAGCCAGTAGTGGCTCAATCAGAGTCCCAAAACCTCAAAGGTAGGAAAGCCGATGGTGCAGCCTTCAGTCTGTGGCCAAAGGCCTGAGAGCCCCTGACAAATGACTTGTGTAAGTCCAATAGTCCAAAAGTCAAAGAACTTGGACTCCAATGTTCGAGGGCAAGAAGCATCCGGTACAGGAGAAAGATGAAGCCCAAAAACTCAGCAAGTCAGCTTCTCCTGCCTTCTTTTGCCTGCTTTTCCTAGCCATGCTGGCAGCCGATTGGATGGTGCCCACCCACATTGTGAGTGGGTCTTCCTGAGAGTGGGTCTTCCTCTCCTAATCCACTGACTCAAATGTTAATCTCTGCTGGCAACACCGAGAAACACCCAAATACACCTATAAACAATACTTTACATCTTTTAATTCAATGAAGTTGACAATACTAACCTTCACAAGTCCATCCCTTGTCAACTTGAACCCATACACATTTCTCAAAATCATACCTAATCTCCAAATAAATGAAACTGCCTTTGCAAAAATTGTAACTGAGGAAATTATGACAGTGAAAGATATCAAACCTAACCAACTCCATCTTGCTTCTAACCGCTAAACTGTCCTTGTCCATTCCTGAACATAGGCCAAACTAGCCTTGGGAAGGAATTTAGTTTATAGTTTAAATAATAGCCCTTCCCCAAAGCTAAACTGTTCTTGTAAAATGATTGAAAGGCTACCAGGCACCAAGTTAGGATGAGAGGGGCTGGAATTCTAAATATTACCAGCCATTATTCCAGAGGAATCATAAGATTTGCAACTTTTCCAGTTACTCTTGAATATAACATCACTATTGTGAACCTAAGATTGGCCTTTTGAGATATCTTTTCAGGTTTTTGAATTTCTGATAACTGGATGGCCCCACCTGGACCTGCCAATCAGTTCCGTGGCCCCCACCCTGGAGCTGACTCAGCATAAAAGGACAGCTTCAACTCCCTAAGATTTCATCCATGAGTCAACCAATCAGCACTCCCAACTCACTGACCCCCCTACCCAACAGATTATCCTTAAAAACTCTGATCCCTGAGTTTTTCAGGAGGCTCTTGAGTAACACTAAAACTCTGGTCTCCTGCATAACTGGCTCTGCATAGATTACTCTTTCTCTTTTGCATTTCCCCTGTCTTGATAAATTCGTTCTGTCTAGGCAGCAGGCAAGGTGAACCCTTACATGGTTACATAAAAACAACAATACAGTCATAATTACACCTAACAATACAGCTATCCTTTATACAACTGGAAGCATACTAATCCTTAACCTAAATGCTATTACATAAAGTTAACAACACTTAAATGCTGATATGATGTCAATGTCACATGATACAGGAAAAAGAGGGGAAATAAAGATATATTCTTAGTACAAGTGTATACATTTATAAACGTATTCTTAACAAAATAAGGAGGAAAACTCATGACAATTACAGTCCTAGTTTCTGCAGCTGGTCATGTGGTCATAGCTGGTATTCATCACTACCTTCTTCTACCCATTCTATATTCCCTTTTCTTTCAGCAAGCACCTCAGCAGCTCATAGTTTTTTACCTGGTGAAGTAAGTTGGTACTGCAGAGAGTAGGGCATTGCTATAAACATACCCCAAAATATGGAAGAGACTTTGGAATTGGGTAACGGGTAGAGGATGGAAAAGTTTGGAGAGCTCAGAAGACAGGAAGATGTGGGAAAGTTTGGAACTTCCTGGAGACTTGTTGAATGGTTTTGACCAAAATGCTGATAGTGATATGGACAGTGAAGTCCAGGCTGATGTGATCTCAGATGGAGATGAGGAACTTATTGGGAACTGGAGCAAAGGTCACTCTTGTTATGCTTTAGCATAGCAGACAGGCTGGTGGCATTTTGCTCCTGCCCTAGAGATCGGTGGAACTTTGAACTTGAGAGAGATGATCTGAATTTGGAACTTATGTTTAAAAGGGAAGCAGAGCATAAAAGTTAGGAAAATTTGCAACCTGACTATATGATAGAAAAGAAAAACCCATTTTCTGGGGTGGAATTCAAACCAGCTGCAGAAATTTGCATAAGTAACGAGGAGCCTAAAGTTAATCACCAAGACAATGGGGAAAATGTCTCCAGAGCATGTCAGAGACCTTCACAGCAATTTCTCCCATCACAGACCCAGAGGTGTAGGAGGGAAAAATGGTTTCATGGACTGGGCCCAGGGCCCGCTCCTGCTCTGTGCAGCCTTGGGACTTGGTGCCCTGCGTCTCAGCCGTGGCTAAAAGGGGCCAACATACAGCTCAGGACATTACTTCAGAGGGTGCAAGCCCCAAGCCTTGGCAGCTTATACATGGTGTTGAGCCTGTGGGTGCACAGAAGTCAAGAATTAAGGTTTAGGAACCTCTGCCTACATTTCAGAGGATGTATGGAAATGCCTGGATGTCCAGGCAGAAGTTTGCTGCAGGGGTAGAGCCCTCATGGAGAACCTCTGCTAGGGCAGTGTGGAAGGGAAATGTGGGGTTGGAGCCCCCACATAAAGTCCCCACTGGAGCATTGCCTAGTGGAGCTGTGAGAACAGGGCAACCATCTTCCAGACCCCAGAATGGTAGATCACAGACAGCTTGTACTGTGTGCCTGGAAAAGCCACAGACACTCAAATGCCAGCCCATGGAAGCAGCCAGGAGGGGGGCTGTACCCTGAAAAGCCACAGGATAGAGCTTCCCAAGACCCTGAGCACCAACCTCTTGCATCAGCATGCTCTAGATGTGAGACACAGAGTCAAAGGAGATTATTTAAGAACCTTAAGATTTAATGACCACCCCACTGGATTTTGGACTTGCATGGGGCCTGTAGGCCCCCCCCTTTTTTTTTTGGCCTATTTCTCCCATTTGGAATGGGAATATTTTTCCAGTGCCTATACCCCCACTGTATCTTTGAAGGAACTAACTTGCTTTTGATTTTACAGGCTCCTAAGCAGAAGGGACTTGCCTTGCCTCAGAAGAGACTTTGGACTTGGACTTTTGGGTTAATGCTGGAATGAGTTAAGACTTTGGGGAACTGTTGGGAAGGCATGATTGTGTTTTGAAATGAAATTTGGGAAGGGCTGGGGTAGAATGATATGGTTAGGCTGTGTCCCCACCCAAATCTCATTTTGAATTGTAATCCCCATAATCCCCACTTGTTGTGTGAGGGACCCAGTGGGAGGTGATAAGATGATGGGGGCAGTTTCTCCCATGCTGTTCTTGTGATAGTGAGTGAGTTCTCACAAGATCTGATGGTGGCAGTTTTTTCCTGTGCTTACTCACTCTCTCCTGCCCCCTTGCAAAGAAGGTACCTGCTTTACCTTCCATGATGATCATAAGAGGCCTCCATAGCCATGTGGAACTATGAGTCAATTAAACCTCTTTCCTTTATAAATTACCCAGGCTGGGGTATTTCTTTGTAGCAGTGTGAAAACAGACTAATACAACCCTCAATAGAAAGATGAAAACCAAAATACAGCACCAACCTCACTGGAAGTCATCATCTACCTCATTGCCTAAATATAATTTTTAAAAGACGGAATAACAAATTTTAATTTCTAAAATAACTCAAGTCTTATGGACAATGGCATTGAAAGCACTGTTTTTTTGTTTTGTTTTGTTTTAATTTCCTGCTGACAGAAACATCACAGAAAATTCTTTGATTTCTCTTAATAGTGACCAGAGAGCCTGCTTCTATCAGTCACTGAAGACATAAGGAATTTTTTTTTAAATTAAACTTCAACACAATGAGGTAGGTACCAATATTTTTTGGCTTTTGTTTAATTGTTGTAAAATACATATAACATAAAATTTATCATCTTAACGGGTTTTAAGTATATAGTTTAGTAGTGTTAACTGTTTTCACATTGTTGTGCAACTGATCTCTGGAACTTTTTTGTCTTGTAAAACTGAAACTTTATACCCACTGAAAAACAGCTGTCCATTTCTTCCTACTCCCAGCCCCTGGCAACTGCCATTCTTTCTGTTTCTATAAATTTGACTTTCCTAGGTACTTCATAATAAATGGAATCATACAGTATTTGTCTTTTTGTGACTGCTTATTTCAATTAACATAATGTCTTCAAGATTCATCTATGTTGTGGCATGTATCAGAATTCCCTAATTTGTAAAAACAGAATAATAATACTCTTTTATGCCTATGTGTCACATTTTCTGAATGTATTATTCGTTCATCTGTCACTTGACCGTTAGGTGGCTTCTGCCTTTTGGCTTTTACAAATAAGGCCACAATGAACATGGGTGAAATACCAGTACTTTGTCTGAGAAAAATTATTTCCTCTAGAGTTGGTTTTATTTCTTTGGAAACAATAGTTCTTAGTTAAGCCAAAATCTTAGAAAATACTGAGAGACCTCTCTTAGGTCCATTGAAATAGTAGTCCAGGTTACAGAATGAAGTCAGTACCTATAGAGTTGAATATTCTTATAGACCAGAACAAAGCTGGAAATAGAGACTATTCAGAAGACAGAGAAAATACCATGTGGCTCAAGTGAGAGAGTCGAGCGTTTGATTTGGACTTGCCATTCTTTCTGTGGCTCAGGAAAAATCATTTAATACTATATTCTCAATCTCAGATGTCCTGTCTGCAAAATTTGAAACATCAATTTGAGGTAATCTATAACATGAAGCAGGGAGAGCTCTGACAACTTTCATTAGTAATGCTCAGCTCTGTGAGAGCAGGAATTGGTTCTGCTTGCTGACTACCATCCCTAGCACTTATAGTGCTGGGCACATGGTAAATACCTATAAATATTTGCTGGATATTTTGACCTTCCCCTAATAAAGTAAGAAAGTTCACATGAAGTGGCATTGCTTCCATCTTAGGTTCGATGCCTAAAAATATTTATAAGCCATAATTCATCTGTATGAAATCCATTTCTCTCACAGAAGTGATTTTGGAAAGTGAGTTTATGGCTGAAAACCAATATTGGATAAAAGAGAAAGGGTTCTATAGAACAGAACAGGGATCTGTTGTCTGACAAAACAGAGATTCAAATGAAAATCTCCAGTATCCTGGAACGGTAAAAGTACAATATTTGCAGATGTACTTGGTTTCTTTTTGACCCATTTCTAGAACTAATTTTGCATGGCACTGTACTGAGCTAAAAATGCTTTTCTATTTCTAGGCTTTCCTCTTAGGATGCGTTGACTCCTTGGATCCTATGAGTCATGGATATGTTCTTCTTAGGAATAAGGCCACTCTTACTCCTGCCCTAATATATGTCCATGGAATTGGTCATCTCCAAACATCATCATCATCATCAATAGCTATAATTAATTGACTATTCCAGGAGATAGGTGCAAAGCTAGAAAGAACTTTTATCTAGCATAATTCAGACCTGCACAGTTTGAAAGTAGAAAGGGCCTCATTGTCTACCTCAGTAGCAAATAGCTGGATTGAAGGAAGCAAGTGGTGCTTTAAAATAACTTTATGCATAATATTTATGTTATTTCCCTGTAAATAAGTGATAACAAAGCAAACTCTAGTTCATTGATAATAACTGCCTGAAGCATTGTTGAGAAGGAATAAGATCCTTTGTATAGGAAAGGGGAAGAGGAAAACTAGAAAATGGTAGGACGGATGAGCAGCTTTTGCAGTGCATAGGAGCTTAGGATTGAGGAGGGAAATAGAAACACAGGTACTTAGTGTCTGATATCCCATTTTCAGTGCTGCCCTTGTTCATTCTAGCCTGATTTACCTGTTAAGAAATGGCTTACTCAACCTGGTTGCCAGAAGGAAGACTTGATATTTAATGTAATCAGCACAGAGATGCTTTCCTCACAGCTTGCAGTGCTAAATGACCTATTGCAGCAACATCATTCTATTTAAGATATTGAAGTTCATGTAGCTACTTCTCAATCTTTTAGCAATTGTTTCAGAACTGTAGTCTAACAAGTGTAATAAGGGCAGGAGTAGGCCTTCTAAATAACAAAGTTTAAATTGGCTATCAACAATCATATATATGTATAGCCAGTTCTATTGTCAATAGAAAAGATGGATCACTTCCACCCTAATAACTAGTCTGTAACACAGTTGATTCAGATTGTAGTCATCTAAATGATCCATTCGTATCACTGGAATTGGCCATAAACACAAGATCACAAGATGAATCTGTGACACTACGTGGACTCTTTTATTATTATAAATCTATTCCTATTCCTGCCTTTACTACTATATTTATTATTAACACAAACTAATTTAAATTATTTTGTTTTAGACTTGTGAAAAAAGTAACAGGAGTTAAGAAGAACCTTGTAAGAATAGAAGAGCTCCTTAGGAAAAAGGGAGGGGAAATCATTTAGGAAGGAGAGCATGAACTGGTAGAAAATGAGAAAAGCTGTATGACATTTCTAAAACAACAATGAAAAGAATGACTTTCCTGAATGTGGATAAAAACCTTACGTCAAAAACTCTTCCCAGAATCTTGTATAGCACCTGGAAAAGACTTGTGAAGAAAAGTGACCTTTCATGTACCATTTCTGGCATTTTGTATTTTGCAATGAAATAAATTCTAGTTTATGCTGCTTATAATTTTAATGGAAGAAGCTTACCATGGGCAATATTGATTGAGTTGTGTGGTGTTCTGACTTAGTTTTCTTTTTCTGCCAATTGTCATGACGTCTGTAGTTTTTGTCACTTTCTGAACCCAAACTAAATTTTCTTTCCTCAACCAAGTAAGACATTTTCTGTGTGCTTAAATCATGTATGCTGCCTGCCGGATTAAGTAATATAGCTTCTGGTTATCATGACCTGCTAAACTTCCTTGGGGAAATTCACAGTGATGATATTATTCATCAGATGATGCTTTTCCACCGAGGCAAATCACTCATTCACCAAGAGCTTTCATAGAAACAGGGATGTTCAAATATATTTTAATGCAGAATATCTTTGAAAAGATGTGAAAAAAATCAGAAATCTGAGACATCTTTTGTTTATCAAGTGACTTAGCCACAGAACTGCACGTAGAAAGGGGGCCTGTGTGGTCTGTGTTTGAGGTCACATTTCATGACACGCTCTTCTAGTCACCAGATAGGTGATGACCCAGCTCTTCTATGTAGGGAACAGTTGCTTTGGTACTGTCTAGTCTTAATTGGGCCTTAATTTGTATTTAATCTGAGTTTATCTGTTAATGTTTCAGGCATTCATTGACATTTTGGACAATTTAGACATAAATTCCCTCATTTAAATCAACTATCGTGTTGTGAGCACTTAGTCAAAAAATGGGCCAGACACTGTTCTGGGTTGTAAAGAATGACAGAAACTTCCCTCAAGATACGTTAAGACTGAAAACAAAAACAGACAAAGAACAGTCAATAGTTGAAATACCTGAAAACAAGAACTAGAAACACAGTGATCAGAGTTCACTGGAATACTTAGGGTGGAGAGTGGTGAGGGAAACATAGGAGACGTGATATTTGAAAGAGATTTGGGGGGTAGGGAGTAGGAGTTTGTCAGATAGAGAGAGAGAAGGACTTTGAAGTAGAGAAAATAGCATGTACCAATACACGGAGTCGTGGATCGGTTCACTGTATGTGGGTACCAGTGAGGGGAAATGTCTTTTTGGAATATGGCACCACATGCCCCTTTGCCTCAGTTTAAACAGTGTTGGTTATCTGCATGCCGTAAACCTGGTCAGAAACTGGTCATTGTAGAGCTGTCTCTTCCAACTTTCTTCTTGCATCCTCTTACGTGCATCAGCCCAGGTTCTGCATTGGCCTCTGTATTCCACCTTGGAATGATTTTATCTCTTGGCAGCTGAGGCCCCTTTTCTGAGCATCTATATTCTATATTCATCAGTTTATAGGCAAGTAAATATTCTGGAAGATGAGCCAGAGGAGAAACAATCTGGACAGTGTGAGGCAAATATAGTGAAATGGCAGAATAGTTATCTTTCTTCTACCATCTGTGGCATCAAAATGAAAATGACAGCTTCTCATTGTACAACACCACATTGCTCATTGCTTTTCTACCTTATGAGTCAGAGAACATAATCTTCGTTCACGCTGTGCACTGGCATATTTGTTTTCAACTTCTCTCTGGATAATTATTGCTTTCCAGTCTGAAGGAACTAGCCTTGAGAAAAGAATCCTTCAACAGTGTTTCTTCTAGGGAACTTTGATAGATTATGTAGTAAGTAACTCTATAGCACATCTTTGGAAATTCAAATTGCCTGGTCCATTTAAAGACATCCATGACAGAATTTGTACTGTTACTTAATAGACTATGTATTATTTACTTTCTTATTCTATGTCCACATTTAAGAAAATTACTTATAATTTCAAATAATGCTCTTTCAAAAGCTACTTCAATTCTCATATATTTAAATATTACTGACATAATGACCCAGCAATTCTACTCTTAGGTAAGCACCTAAGAGGAATGAAACCATATGTTCACACAAAAACTTGTACATGGATGTTCATAGCAGCATTATTCAGAATGGCCAATATGTGGAAACAATTCAAACATCCATTAACTGATGAATGAAGAAAATGTGGTCTATCCATAGAATGGAATGTTACTTGGCAACAAAAAAAATGAGGTACTGATACATGCCTCATGATATATACAGCATGGATGAACCTCAAAAACATTATGCTAAGTGAAAGAAGCCAGATACAATGGTCATATATTCTATGATTCCATTCATATGAAATATCCAGAATGGGCAAATCCACTGAGACAGAAAGTAAATTAGTGGTTTTCTGGGGCTGGGATGGAGGTCAGGGGT